GTGGTGCCGCCGTCGCGCCGCCGTCGTGCTGCTGCCGCCGCCGTCGTGCAACCGCCCCCCGTCTTGTCTGATCGTATAAAAAAAACCAGCAATGGGTCGCTTCGATACTGAACGGATGGGGCAAGGTCGGGATTCCGACCTTGCTTCAGATGGCTACAAAATGCTCAGTTTTCATCAAAAAACGGCCGGTGTCAGAACTCGCCAGGCCTGCGAAGCCTGACACCGCCCCAAATGCGACACAAACGAGCGCCACGCAGTTATCGCGAAGTGGTTACTGTTCGTAACCACTTCGCGATAACCCTTTCCAACGCTCAATGTTACCCTCCACGGAGCGCAACGACGACGGCGGCACCACGACGGCACGACGGGTCGGAATCCCGACTTTGCCCCATCGGCGCCGGTCCTGCTGGGCAAGCAGCTGGGAAGCTGTCGGCCGGGGCGGCTAGGGTTCTCCGGCTTCAACTCTTAGAAGCATTCACAAAGTCAATGCATATAAGAGAGTATTGCTCCATCGACACATAGCCTGTTACGCAGGCAACGGGAAGCCCGCTTCTCTGAGCGCTTGCCGGTGTTGCTCCGTCGCCCGAGCATAGGCTTGCGGGACGTAGGCAGCCAGAGCCCACATGCTGCCCTCGTGGGTGTGATAGCGGCGCGCGTTGAAGCTGACGGGCTTGTCGTGCATGTGGAGTCCAGTGCCGCGTGCCCAGCGCTGCCGGGCAGCAGCACGGAGTTGCGCCTCTCGCATCATCGGCCTTCCAGCTCGCGGACCACAGGTCCAGCAGTCTGACCAGATTTGTTTCGGAGGGCCGGCATGTCCAAACGACCAGTCACCAGTAGACCACATCGACGCTGCCATCGTCGTAGCAGAATTCGTGGGCGTCCGGCTGGACTGGCTCCTCGACGAGGTCCTCGTGGACGAGCTGGGAAAAGCTTCTGAACTCGCGCTCCAAGCCCTCTATCGAGCGGGGCACCAGAAGCTTTCGCTGGAATTTCGCGACCTTGTACCTGGTAAGGATCGAGCGCCGCGCCGCTTCCTTTGGCAGCAAGCGTAGGGCTGCGACTTCGGCCGCGACGAGCTCAAAGTTCAACGACAGCCCTTGAAGCGACAAGACCTCCCGGACCGCGTCGCCCAGAAAGAGGGTGTGGCAGTTGAGATTGTTCGCAAGAGCTTCTTGGCTCACCCTGCCCAGGGTGTTCCACTTGGCCCGGTTTGTGCCGGCGAGGTGGTAGACGTCCTCGGCCCATTGGAAGGCCGCGTGCTTCCAGGAGCCGCGATCCAGCATGTGCGCCCCTGCTCCTCTGAGCTGCTCGAAGCAGAACTGGTGCCCGTTGTACCAGCTCTCGTGGCACAGGAAGGGTAGCAGGTGCTCCTTCACGATGCTTTCGGGCAGGTTGCGAAACTGCTGCTTCGCTTCGAGCAGCACCGAAGTGCGCAGCGCTTGGGCATGGCTGCAAGAGCTGAAGGAGCTGCGAGCGAGCTGAGTGCTGGGATGTTGGTTTGGTAGGTAAGGGCGAGCTGTCGCCCGATGGCGCGCGGCCCCCCAAAGCGCCTTCCGGCATTTGAACGCAGTCTCAAGGGTGGGGTAGACCACGGGGAGGCCGGAGAGGTCGGGCACGGCGCGTCCCTCCGCGAAGGCCAGCAGCTGCTGCTCCAACGGCGACGTCGATGTCGTCGAAGTCCTTACTGGCGGTAAGGACTTCGACGACATCATCGCTCCGCGAAGCGAAGGCCAGCAGCTGCCGCTCGGCCAGCAACGTCGATGTCAGCGCAGTTCTTTGTTCTAGAGAGAACTGCACGACATCATTCAGGCGACAGATTCCTTGTCTCCATGACATGTCGATCCACGTCATGTGCACGTAATTGCTGTTGCGCTCGAGACCTTCGGCATCGACACAGGCCTGGAGCCAGTCGATGTAGGATAGAATTTCCAACACCATGCCACTAACGGCAGCCTGACACGCCTAGGCGCCGCTGCCGGCTCCTCGTCAGTTGTGTCTCCACATCCTACTCGCGCAGCTCCCGGAGCATCTGCGAAAACGTCCTCCGTGCGGGGCCAGGCGCAGCAGCGGCAGGCGCAGCGGCGGGAGGCGCAGCGGGAGCAGGGAGGACTCCTCTCCGGAGGTTTCGAAGGTGCAGAGGCGTGCGGGGTCTCGTCAGCCGTCCCCTCGGCTGGCCCGAGCCCCGCGGCACGGGCAACGCGTGTTTGAGCAGGGTCTCGCTGCCGTCGGTGCTACGGACCACCATGCTGTCGTAGGAAGCAACGCCCTTGACGGGCCCGTACTGGGGCTGGAA